ACAACACTTAATTAGACTTTTATTATTTTCGTTGTCAATTTCCTATACAACTTTGTGTTTGTACGTCAAGGGGCTACTAGAGAACAAATTCATTTGGTAAATACTAATTTACAATTAGCAAGTAAAAATATTTTAAGTTCAATACACTAAACGAAATAATCTTATTGATCGATGAGTTAAGTTTTTTGAAATAGTAATAATAAAGTTGCTTGAAGTGCTTGAGGATATATCCATGTATGCAGTTGAGTTCTGACGTTTCGGACTCATTGTAGAGTTCATCTTAAGAGTGATGGTTGCTAGTCGGTGGTTGCAACTATGCATTATAATGTGCTACTAAAACAATATGCATTACCTAACTTGTGACTGCATACAGTTTGTATGTTAAATAGATTTTATTAATATGTTGAATATATTATGCAGTGAACATGTCTGTTTGTTATTCAAGAAATCATTGAAAAATCTGTTTAGGTGTAAAGATTAAACAGTCAGGAAAATATTGATACAATCTGTCATTTTACTTCATGTACCACTGTGTGTAAATGAGAGAGAGAGAGAGAGAGATCCGATTAGTAAAAAATGTTTTTTCAAACCCAACCGTCTTTTTGTAATACAAGAAAAGGAATAACTTTAAATTAAAAAAAAAATGAAATAAAAATTATTTACATAAACAGTCATATANTAAAAAAAAAATGAAATAAAAATTATTTACATAAACAGTCATATAATAAATGCGTTTATAAAATTTAATTTATAGTTATAATACATGTAATGCTATAATCTGAGAAGTCTAGATAGTCTAGATCGCTTCTCCTAATTCTGTCACTTCCCCTTCTTAAAAAAAAAAAATCTATTTAAAAAACTCTTACATGTTAATTTATATAGAAATATTTTTGAGCGGAGAAGAAATTTAACTAGTTTCCTCAATCATTTGTGTTATTTGCGCCTATTGAACTTTATCTTACTTGTCTATTTCACTTGATTGTTAATTTTCAAATATCACTAACAGATTAACTAACAAGTATCACAATTAAAATAATAAATTTAAAATAAAAAGTTATATCTTTTTTTATAGTACTCTAAATTGGATAAGTCTAGATGCTTACTTATTTCCTTGCAAACAAGCGTATAAAGTTTAAAATTATTGAAAAATAAATAATGTCATAGTTGATAATTTTTAATAATTAAAATGGTTATCTTTTAAATAAGATAAGTATGTATTTAAAAACTTTTTTCGAAGAGAGGATGGCTAAAGAACATTAATTCTAATTTTATATTAAATGGTATTTCTGATGATTTTTTTTATGAAACATTTTCGATCATCGCATCATTTATTTAGACTCTTTATTTACTTATACTAATTGAACAAATATAATTCTTCTAAGAATGAAATAGATGAAATGTTATAGAGCTTTATCAGGTTAGAAATTTTTGTCTAATTAAAAAATTAACAGTATAATCATTAATAATGTAAATGTGATGAACAATTTGTCGTACAAATGGCTAATTTTGCAAAATACTGTAGTATCTTATGCAGATAGAAATTGTGTTGTTTTATAACATCGCATGTTCATACGTGGAGTCTGTTTATACCCAAGTTTATGTTCAATAAGAAATTACTAATAAAAGTTGTCACGTCTACATATGAAAGTTATTCAAGGTCTGAAGATATTTCCTTTATAAATTGTCATTGATATAGAAGACTGTAATGTTTAATTTTATTTGATATTATTGTAATAAATAAAATTTAGCCGTGATAAATGTTCATCTAGAATTTTTTAAATTATGAACTTTTGTTAGTAAAGAATTTCATTTTTGACGTTATAATACATATGCGTTATAATAATAATTATCATTAATATTAATAATATTTTTAGCTAAGTATTATTTTTGTGAAATTTATATTTTTAAATAAGTTATCTAATGATTTTAATGAAATTATTCAAATTTTTTTTATTTCATATTTAGTTTATTTTAGTTTGTCAAACACTACAAAGATTAGAAACATTATGTCTAATTTTAATTCTATACTTCTATAATTCTTATAAAAATAATGTATTTTTTCGCTCTGTCAATTATTTATTAAAATTAACTTGTGTTTTTTTTTTTAATGATGCATTATTTAAGTATATATTTCCTATGTAGATGGGGAAAAATTTTGGGGTACCATGTTAAAATAAAATCTAGAAATCACTGAGGAAGAATAATAATTTGATACACCAATTAAGTCTGCAACGCATACTTAGAGTATAAAATATGAACAAAAAATGAAGGTCATTTTTAAATTACTATTTTACTTGCTATCTATTTAACGTGAGTAGTAAAAAAATAAAAAACAACTGCATATAATAAAAAATAAAAATAAAAAATTGTAAGTCATGAACAACATTATAAATTTTAACAAACGTTTAATTTTTTTAAAAGTGACATTAGTACTTAAAAAGTACTTAATAAAAAGTTAATTATTCCGAANAAAAAAAAAAAATAAAAAATTGTAAGTCATGAACAACATCATAAATTTTAACAAATGTTTAATTTTTTAAAAAGTGACATTAGTACTTAAAAAGTACTTAATAAAAAGTTAATTATTCCGAATTAAATTTGAATAATTGGTTTGAATATATGTATACATATATGAACATCTTTACAAACAAAAAATACATATACAGGTGTTTAGTAAGTAAGGAAACAAGTTAGTTGTTACAAACAATAAGAAAAATAGAAACCCATTTTCTTACTTACTGAACACTCTATATGTATTTTTTAATTAGGTTACAAAAATGCTACCTTTTTATATTCTGAAATTTCATGTTCATTAGAATAATATGTATTAATAGCTCTAGGATGAATTTATTGNTTTTTGATAGTGATTTTAATCACTGTCAGATATCATTATACTTGATCCAACTATGCTACGTCACCACTGTGCCGCGACCCCCCTGTGCTGGATTTTTTTAATAACCATATTACATATGTTTTTTTAATCCTTAATAGTGGCATATCCAATTAAATATTTTTGTTTTAAAGAAGGGCTTACTTTTTTTTTAGATTTTTTGAATTTGACACAATAATAATTAAAAAATGATCAGGTAGTAAAATAGTTATTCCAAATGACAAATTTATTTTATTTTTGTTTCATTTTAGATAAATATTTACTTTTAAACAATTTTGACGAGGACTAATGGGATCTCCTAGATATATTGCTTTTTGTACGTATATATTTTTATATATTTTAAGGATAAAATAATTTTTTCTTTAAATTAATATCGTTTATTCTTAATCTAATATAGGTTATTATTTTAAATAATCTTTGTTATATGAAGTCAAAATTAAACAAATTATTCTTAAGTGTATGTTATTTTCATCTTATGATGAGAAGGTTTTAAAACTTATTAATTTACTTGTTTTAGTTTCTTGTCCATATAATAGTATTAAGCTATGGGTTTGAATTTACTTTTTTTAATTAACAAAATATTATCCTTAAAATGACTATTTTTTTTAAATTAAAAACATAATATTGATCTTGTCAGCAAAAGAAAAAACTCAATTTTGGAAATACTTGTAAAGATATTATTTAATTTAAAAATAGAGGTACTATTATTTATGTATAATCTACTCCTAATTTGAAATTTAGGGCAAATACTTAATGATTTGCCCTAAATAATTAAAATTTAAATAAACTCTTAATAATTTTTTTAAAATAAATTTAGCTATTCAGAAAATAACATTTCTATGTGAGCACTTTGTTTTTCATCAAAAATATAAATTACTTTAAAGTGATTTGAATTGTTGCCTAGTAAATTTATGCTAGAGAGATATATGAGATCATTAATAATTTAAGCACCCCTAATATATATAATAACCATTACTGGATACAAATGATATAACTTTTTATTTAAATTATGCAAAGCTATTGTTATTGTTAGTATTGATTGTATTGGTAGTTGTAATGTGAAAAATCATTATAGTTGAATAATTAATTATACTGTGGTGATGTTTGTTATATTTTTCATAATAATTTGTTAGGTTATGCTCAAGTACAATTAATGAAATATAATTAATTGTGGTGCTAGTCCATTTAATGAATCAAAATTGAGTATTAGATTAAATACAATATTGTTTTAAATTAACGCCATAAATAGAGGTTTTTACTTAATGAATATTGGTGTACTGAGGTTTGAGTTTAATCAAGAAATCAGATTTTATATTTGAATTAATTAAATTTATTATCCAGAATATTTTATTTATAACCAAGGGTTTAAATAATTAATTTATGAAGATGTCATCTATCTTGAGTTGTTGTAGTTATGGTAGTGATATAAGCCATAAAATTTAAAATTAAATATTATATTTTATCTAAATTTAATAGCAATTTATTACAATCAAATTTTTTTTAAACATTTTATGCAACTGGACATGTGTACTAATAAAAACTATTGAATTATAACTTAAAACAATAATAACAATGAAAATATACAAATAAAAATAATCAGTTTTTGTATTAACTACTAATATTTTACAACAATTAATTTTTTTGTTTGAGTTAAAAAAAAACCTACTGTAATTTTCAATACAATTGTTTTTTTAATTTTTAATAAAATGTGAGTCATATTTTACATAACTAATATTAATGTTAAAAAGTGAATACAATTAAAATTTTTACTATAAAAAACTATTCATATCTATACGAAAGTATATTCTAGGTAGAAGGAAATTAGATTATTTCTTTTAATATTTTATATGGTTTGAGTAACGATATATTTATTAACATATTAGTGCACTAATCCATTATAAATATAATTTAATGCTCTTATCAAACAATCAATTTTAAATATTACAGGTAATTGCAACTAAGTTTCTTTTATAATATAAAAAATGGTAGTTAAAAAATACTTTTATGGCATAGAATTTTCATATACATTTTTTTTTTAATAATTAAAAATTTAATTCATATAATTTATAAGAAACATTCATTAATTGACAAGCCTTGCATGTTTATGGTTATTTTGAAACCATTTAACTGTATGAGCTATTGCTGATTCCATATTAGTAAATTCAAAATCTGGTAAAAGTTGTCTAAGTTTTTTATTACTAGCAGTTTTTTTAATTTGTCCATCAGCTGCACTGGTATCATATACTAAAGTACCTTGAAAATTGAAATTTTTAGATATTAATTCTGCTAGTTGACGTATAGATATTTCATCCTTTTCATCCACTATCAAACAAATCATATAATTTTTTATTGATTTTAAATAATTTATAGCAGATTAAAATAAATTTTTATTAATTAAATATGCACCTGATAATATTAATGGTTCCACATCATTATAGTTTCTCAGGACCCAAATAAATAGTTTTGCAAGATCTAGTGAATAAATAAATTGACGCAAAGGTTTACCTGAACCTAGTACTACAAATTTTTTATCACCTATAAATAAATATAAATTGCTTGAAAAATATAATAATAAAAAAACATAGTTGTTATTTAATGTTCAGTGCTTGCAATTGCTCTTATATCTTAAAAATTTTTTATTTAATTATTTGAAAAAGTTATTTAGTAAAAATATTCATACGTTTCTTTTTAAGTATTAAATAATATTTCGATTTTTACACATAGAATACTGCTGAAAAATATTTTTTTACATCTATAGTTTTCAAGAAAGTATTTTAGTAATGAAGTAAAAAAAAAGTGACTTAAAGTGATTAATATTAAAAAATTAGTATAAAATACAAAAGTGACAAATTAAGAGGAATAATTTAACTACCATTATTTACAGCTTGATATAAACGATGAATTAAAGCAGGAACAACATGAGCATTTTGTAAGTCAAAATTATCATTCGGTCCATAAACATTACATGGAACAACTGATGTAAAAACAACTTCATATTTCTGATGATAGGCTCTATTAGAAATATCTAATAGACGCTTTGCATAGCTATAACCAAAGTTAGAAGAATGAGGCGGTCCATTATGAATCTAAACATAATAATACTTTATTTGGTTAATTTATTACATCAATTTATAATTAAATATTAAATAAAACTTAAGATTTAATTAAGTAATTATTTGAGAGTTATAAATAGCATAGTTTAGGTGCATACTAATCTCAACGGCAAATAAAATGTATTGGTCCTCCTAACTACAAAAAAATTGAGCTTCTCATAAAAAAAAAGTCTAGAAATAAAAAAATCTATATTACTTAAATTATGTTTTTTAGAGCAATCCAGCAGAAATTTTGCCCCCTGTGACTAATTTATGTGGAATTGTGATCAGAGTGGTTTATTTCCCAATTAGAATACTAAAATGAAATTTTTCCTATATAATTTTAATCACTTCAAAGTATTATTTTTATACAGTGGCATAGTCAGAATTTCATACGGGGGACAGTGGTAAAAAATCTACAAAATTTCTAATTTTGAACCTTATATTTTTTGCTCAAAATTTTATTTTTGAAATAAATATTGCTATCAATGGCAATTTACTCATCCTGTTTTAACAGGATGAGTAAATTCTGAGTTATTATACTTAAAAACCAAGAGTTAGTGAGAAATACTCATATTATGGCTTTTAGCCTTGGTAAATTAATGATATTTCGTTAACATNAGCCTTGGTAAATTAATGATATTTTGTTAACACCTACAAGAACAATTTTACTCACCATAGATTCATCAATTGGGTAAGAAGTTTTATCAGGAAATATGCAGGTAGAAAGACAAGATACTACTTTAGTTACATTGAATTGATAACTAGTCTCAAGTACATTGTCATTAATGTGAATATTTTTACGCTGAAAAAAATACATAGAAACATTATTAATAATTATATTAGTGAACATAGGGTTCTTTTTTAGTAGTTGTTACCAAAGTTTTAAAATTAGTTAACATTACATTTTTTCACAATTTTCAATTACTAAGATTAACAAATTGCACTGTTTTTTTAATAACAAATAAATTTTAAAAATATATTACCAAAAAGTCTAAATTGTTGTTCATATTATGAAATAAACCTCCAACCATTGCAGCTAGATGAATTACATGTGTTGGTTTATATTTTTCAAACAAGGTTCTAGTGTCTTGTAGATTGCTAAAACAGATTTATATTGATAAAATATAACTATAAATTATGGATAATGATTATAAGCAACCTAAGATCGGCCTCTTTTGAATTTGTAAATATCCATTTTTCATCAGGTAATGCATTACCTTCATGTTCTACAACATCTTTGATGGCACTCCCAACTAAACCAGAACCCCCAGTCACTAAAATTATTTTATTCATAACTTTATGTTGTGCAAAATAATTTTAAAAAAAAATGAATTAAAAATGAAAAATTTTTGAATGAAATTTATATACTTTTAAGATCACAATGTTTCAATTTCAATTGTGATATAGATATCATTTTTATAATCTACGTAAATACTACACAAATCTAAAATTTAAAAAAAGGGGTTTATTTTGATATCTCAAGACATAAAGACAGATAAGAGAGAGAGTTTTATCTTATCTGTTATATCAATTTGATATTACTTGATACAAATAAAAATACCGGATACAAGATCTATACATGATGAGAATTATTTAACTTAAATTTTGTTTTCTAAATATTTACTTATTTCATCCAAATAAATGTTTACAATTTAAATCTGATATCACTTAAAACTTAAAAGTTACAGTGCTATCTTTGTTTTAACATTTTCTTCAAATTTATGTTGTTTTGAAATTATGGTTTATTTAATGTAAAAAAAATTATACTTGGTAAAATATAGAATATTTTCTTTTCTTGTTAGAAGAAAAATGATTGATCTCAATGTTAAGATTAAGTTTTACTTATTATTTAATCTACTATAAATAGTTTGGAATACTAGAATTATTTTAATATAAGTGAGGTAATTGTCTATTAAATAATTGAAGGGTTCAGTGTAATAATAACCTTGGTTAATAATAACTATGTTTTTTCAAAATTCTTTTTTTCATATTTTTGTGCAAGTTTAAATTTTTAACAGTTTGTAGTTGTCCTTGAGCATTTTCGTTCACTATAAAATCTAATACTGTAAAAATAAAAATGTCTTATATACAGACTAGACTATAAGTACTAAAATTTTATAGTTTTTGTTTATTTTGAACAATTTAAAAATAATGAAGGTATCTGGTTATTGCACTTGACTCTTCAATTGTTAAAAAAAGTTGTATTATAAATTATTTATTCTATTAAATCCTTTTAACTAACAAAATTATTAGTCAAACTAAATTAACTTTACTAAGTTGTTCGAAATGATAATTTAACTTTTTCAAATCACCTATTGATATTATTTTTAATTTAATAAATAATTTCTTTAATAATTTGTACTTAGATATTAAAATAATGGTAATAAATATTTAATAACAAAATTATTTGAAATTCTTGACAAATATTATAACTTTTTTTTTGTTAAGGTTGAAAACTGTTTTAAAATGGTAAAATTGCGTCCCCCATCATACATGGCTAGACGTGTTTTTGCTCTTATCCTTTTAGGAATTACAGGTTATTCAATTTTTTACATGACTCTTAGTAAACCTCCTAATTATATATATTATGAGACATCAGATCGAAAATTAATGCTGTAAGTTTATGCTTCCTATGCTTAGATATTAGTTGATTTAATAATTGTATTTTTATTTATTAGCAAACAAATTGAACAGAAAATTTCAAATTCAGTGTCTGACCAAGATGTCATGAATAGGTAATTATTTAACTTTAATGTTTATTTTGTAATCATCTATGACAACAATTATTTTAATTATTTGTTAGCCATTATTTGTGTAAGTTATTTATTGGACTTTTGATTTTAGTTCAATCAATCAAACTAGTAATTAATAAAATAATTTTGAAAAAAAAACTATGTTAAGTCATTCAAGTATTTTCAAGATGAAAGTATTAACATATGTGTATTTAAAATTTAATTCAATATATTTTTAATAACTTCAAAAAGTAAAATATTGGGAACTTATTTTTTTAATTTAAATTTCTTTGTTATCTAATGAGTATAGAGCTGATTTATATATATTTATAAATCTTGTTTAAGTAATTTTAAAGGATTCAAGTTTGTAAAAATTTATTGAAATATACATTAACTAGGAAACCTTTTTTCGTTATAAGGAGAATTTACCCTTGATTCCCTTAACACTATAAACCCAGATATACATACCTCAATTAATAACAATTACGATATGACAATTAATACAAATTTGTATTGTCTGCTGATGTGTTTGGAATAATTTTATAACAAAATTTATAAATGAATATAAATCTGTTCTTTATTAATGAGATACTACAATTTAAAATCGATAATTAAGTGGTTCGTAATAAATTTTACCCTAGTAAAAAAAGAAAAATTCATAGAATAACTCAATTAATAATAATTTTACATAATCTTACTTTTTAAAATAATAGAGTTTCTACACTTTTAAGTAGGAAGAGCTGCTTTTATTACAAAATAATTATGTTAATATTATAATTAGCATAATAATATTATGCTACAAAAGAATATATATCTTATATAC